AAATGTTTTGACCCTTAAAACCCTCTAAACCTTCATAACTAAACCCAAATAGAACATAATTAACTCAAACATAAATGATATAAAGAAAAAATAATTTTGAAAAAGTGGCATCTTTGTAAAGATTTCAAAACTGTGGCATTTTTGTAAAATAACACTTAAAAAATGACATTTTTTGAAATTTCTCTAAAAAATATCACATTAAATAATCAATAAATATAGTCTTATTTTTACAAAGGTTGTTTGTCCCACATCGAAACAAAACACGGGAGAAAAATTATATTCTTCTATAAAATGAATTATCATTCTAGAATTATCCTTAATGAATCTTAGTCAACTTAAGGTCTTGACACAGTTCTTTTTTTAAGTCCATATATATTGGCTTAATTAATAAATTGTTTGGAGCCATTTATAATGTTTTTGCATATAGTTTTTTTCTTCATTTAAATTAATAATATTATAATAAATCAAATTCACATATCAAAACTATTTTTAAAAAATATATATCTAAATTTATCAAAAATTGGTTAGAATATACGGCCGAAAATTGGTCAAAACATATAGTTTTGACCATTTAGATTGATAAAAAGATTTCTATCATTGTATTGGTCAGGATCAAAATTTTAACCATTTTGATTGGTCATAACTTCCGACCATTCTATTGGTCAAAATCAAATTTTCAACCATTTTGATTCGTCAAAAACTTTTAACTACTTTGTTGGTCAGAACCAAATTTTCGACCCTTTTGATTGGTAAAACAAGATTGACTATTTTTTTATTAAAATTTATTTGTGACCACCAATTTTTAACGAATCGATTTTGGTCAAATATTATTCAGAAATAGCTGTTTTTTATCAATTTTAAACTAAAACTGATGGTTAAAATTGGATTGTTTTGTACAATATATTGAAATCCTTAAATTATTGCGTTATATGCATTTAAACGTTTAGGAATACGATACTGTTTTATCCACGATAGGATAGGCCAATTAGCTGCAAGGTAAAAATCTTTATAAGAGTAAAAGTAAAGATAAAACTGCGCACGAAGAATATAGGAAAGAATTTTAGAGGAAAAGTGTGACAAGTATCATGAACGTGTCAATCCATAAACGAGAAGGCAAATAATAGATACCAGATTCGACGTACCACATTAATAAATATCAAATCTTTTTATTTTTATTTTTGCTGTGTCAGTTACACTCTTCTTCACTACTCCAATTACTTTTATTTTTAGTTTAATATATATAACTCGCATGCATGCATATATAAATACAGCTACATATCACCATTGTAAACTCCGCCTGTTCTTCATTTTAAAGTATCTCCCTAAGCTCCAGTCTCCACTGACACATCTTGATCGTCTCCTACACTATCTTCATTTCTTCTTCTTCTTTCAAATTTTATTTTCCAGGTAACCAAAATTTCCTTGCTTATTGTAATTCGGTTCGTGATATTTTCATATATATATTTATTGTAAGAAAAATTTAGATTTTTCTAAATCTCCGACTTATATATGAATGCATGTTAATATTATCAAGATTTCTAGGTCTTCGAACGATGTCGGTTTTCGAATCAGAGACTTCGAATTTCCATATTTTCAACCCTGAGCTC